TCTCTTTATTTTTATAAGTAAGAAAAAAGATACATGTACATCTTGGTTTGCGATGAATTAGGAGAAAAAAAATGAAAAAGGCTGAGTGGATGTCAACGTCTTGGTTTGCGATGATCCTGAGTATGCCAAGAAGTTTGCTGAAGAAACATGGGCGAAGAACAAAGATGAATGTACATCTTCTCATCTGTATTTTGACCTTGATATAATCGTCGTCGTATTTGACTGACGCTATTGGATTTTGTACGCTGAGAAGGCAGCATTTGAAGAGGCAGAGAAGAAAAAAGAAGAGGAGGTACTTGCTTGACCATGATTTGTGACTTCATGTTTGCTTGCATCGTTGATATTATAGCCAAATGAGAAAACTTTTGATGAATTCAGAAATTGCAAAGTTGCTTTTTCAAAAGCCAATTATTAGTCCTGTAAATGCTGTCCATTACTCCTGCTATTTTCAAGTATGTCTTTTCTGTAATCCGTAACTGAGGCTATGGTTCCACATCGTTTCTAACTTCATTGTGAGCTTTTTAGCCTTTTCATCAGGAATCTAAGGATGCAGTTGATTCTGATGTAAGTCAATGAGTATGCTCTGTTGTTGGTATTAGTTGTTTGATAGTTCTGGTTCTTAACCTTGCCAGGTCAACTCATTCCCCAGGTTGAGGATAGAGACGATGCCGATTATGCTGAAGAAGATTCTGATTCTGAAACCAAATCAGACGGAAGTGAAGAGACCAAGGAAGATGTACATGTAAGTTATTTACTGATTTACCGGTATATACTAAACAGCTCTATAACTTGAAATGCTTATGAATTGATTTTCTCTGCTCAATCTTTGCAGGATGAGCTGTGAGGCAAAAGCACCGTGATGTTTTGCTGACAATATGGGTCCAGAGATAGTAAGGCAATTAAGCTCCCCAAAATTTTTCCATGATCTTTTTTTATCTTCAGCTGTAGGATTTCTGTTTTAGTGGAGAACAAAATTGAAGGAAGCAATTTAAATTGTATGAGCCTTTAGAGCGAAGGTCACATTCAGATTATAAAATAGTTTGGACATTTTCTTTGCAAATATTTTCTTATATACAGACCATCGTCAAGTCCTTTTATTTCTTATTAATTTTGGCTCTAACCCATCATGGTGAAGAGTTGGGTAGGCATCTACATAATTGGCATCTAGGAGCAGAATACCTCGACATCAAATCTGCAGTCAACAATTTATTTAGCCAAAATCTTAATCTTAACTGTTGCATGCTCTTTGGTGAGAATGAGTCGGGAAACAACTCCATTAAGATAGTAACAGAATGATGTTCTTTACTCTCTAGTTGGGAAAAACTACTGGGTCTTTACCGCCGTTAAGAATAGATAGAAGCCACGTTGTTAGCCAACCTTAAACTGCGTCCACCTCACCCCTACTCCTGCCACGCGTTTCCTTGCGTGCGCAGCACATCAATTTGGTTGCTGCTTAAATCATGTGTACTCGCAGTTTGATCCAGAATCAATCGTAAGAGCAGTGCTAGGGGCACTCGCTTTCTGCACTTCCGGCCAACACTTCCCCTTTCATTGGGCCACGTAACCTTCTTTAAAGCTCTCAGCGCAACCTCTCGGAAACCAAAACAACGTGGCCCAATAAAAGAGAAAGTGTTGGCTGGAGAGTGCAGGAGGCGAGTGCCCCTAGCATTGCTCTCAATCGTAAACACAACCACTAATAAAGTCACAAGTTCTCAGCGAAGCCACCAACACCACCACTTCTATCCTTGAGACCGCTACCTCCGCCATCCAAGGCTTCGGTTCCGTCAACAAAATCCACCAACATCTCTGCGCGTATTAACTAACCCACCAATTATTTATTTATTTCCCCATTTTGTAATTTAATCCTTTTGGTAATTAAAAGGAATATTCATCTGGAATTGCATATGTATGTAGATTCCATTTCTACAGTAACGACATGACCCGTCAAGTAGAGGCACACCACTTCTGTGCCCATCAGAACAAAGAGATGCAGCAGTGCTTGATCTACGACAGCCCCAAAAAGGACGCCCGTCTCATAGGGGTGGAGTACCTGATCTCGGAGAACCTGTTCCTGACGCTACCAGACGAGGAGAAGCCACTGTGGCACTTCCACGAGTACGAGGTTAAGAGCGAGGTGCTGTTCATACCCTGAATCCCAGGGCTCATCCACAGGCAGGACATGGAGAAAGTGTGCAAGACTTATGGCAAGGTTTTCCATTTCTGGCAGGTGGACAAGGGCGATGATTTGCCTCTGGGCCTGCCTCAGCTCATGATGGCCGTCACCAGAGACGGTCAGCTCTACGATGAACTCGCCAAGAGTAAGCCCACTCTTCTTTTCAACAATTTATAGTTTAAATAATTTTAATTAAAGTGACATAGGTCTTGAATTGAGTGTTGAAATAAATAATTTTTCAGTTGCAACTAAAAAATACATTTTTATAATAATAAAGTGTGATATGAATATAGATGCGGAGAAGCAGTTGAGGATATCTTTGGCTGAGGAGAGAGAGGAGCGAGAATACATGAAGGGGCCGACGCATGGGATTCATCTGTTGGCTAGCGGTGGTGGGAAGGGGCTTAAAACGGAGCTGAGGGAGACGGAGTGCAAGCCTGCTGATTCTGCTCCTAGAGTCTTTGTTTAGAAAGTGAATCTCGATGGAGTACTACAATAGTTCTCATCAAGTTCAAGGGCATTGCTTTTTAACAAGAAACAGTGTTGTAGTTGTAGAGCTATTTCTCTAATATTATATCTACCGTTAGCTATATGATTTAGTGGTAGTTATTTGGACTCTTAGTTACATAAATAGTTATATAAATAAAATATTTAATTTAAAACCTGTTTTGTATAGTAGTTAAAATTTAATAGATAACGGGTAATGGGTAATGGATAGCAGTAGTGTGTAACAGGTGACAGTTAGTGAATAACGGATGATAGATACTAGAAAGTGGATAGCAGATAATAAATAGTGGATTCAAATAAATTTATAATAATATAATCATACACTAATTTTTATTTTTAATAAAAAATTATATTAGTTTTAAATAAAGTACAAAAAATTTTAAGATTTTTGACTAATTAGCAAATTTTGTTTATTAAGTTAATATATTTTTTTAATGATAAATTAATATAAAAATAAAAATATAATAAAATCTTAATATTATTAAAGAAAAAAATAAAATTGAAACTAATTAGATAAGTATATAATAATTAAAAACTGTGGCTAAAAATTAAAAA